AACACAGCCCCAGCCCCAGGAAATGCTTATTTAGCCCGATGACAATCTTAGCATATTTATAGACAGGACAGAGACCAATTGATAGAAATAAATTAACATACAAAAGAGGGGAGAGGACTAAGATGGACTTAGTGGAAGATGGACAATAACAAGTATTGGACAGTAAATGGAGAAATTAGAATCCTACATTGCTTGTGGGAATGTGAAATGGTGCAGTACTTGGGCAAAATTTGGCAGTTCCTCAAAGAGTTCCCGTATGACTCAGCAATTCCACTGTTCAGTATACACCCAAGAGAAATGAAAACTTGTACATGAACGTACATAGCAGCATTACTCATAGTAGCCAAAAAATAGAAACAATCCAAGTATCCACCAGCAGATGAATGGGATAAGGCAAATGTAGTATCTGCATGGATACAAAAGGAATGAAGTATTGATACATGCTACAACACAGATGAACCTTGAAGATGAAAATATTCTAGAATTAGGGGCCGGTGCTGTGGCACAGTGGGTTAAAGCCCTGGCCTGAGGTGCCAGCATCCCATATGGGTGCTGGTTCTAGTAACGGCTGCTCCTCTTCCAATCCAGCTCTCTGCTATGGCCTGGGAAAGCAGTAGAAGATGGCCCAAGTGCTTGGGCCCCTGCACCTATGTGGGAGACCCAGAAGAAGCTTCTGGCTCCTGGCTTCGGATCAGCGCAGCTCCGGCCATTGCAGCCATCTGGGGAGTGAACCAGCGGGTGGAAGACCTCTCTCTCTATCTGCCTCTCTCTGTAACTTTTTCAAATGAATAAAATAAATCTTTAAAAAAAAAAAGAAAATATTCTAGAATTAGATAATGGTGATTATTGCACAACTTTGTGGCTATACTAAAATGCACTAGTTGCATACTTCAAAAGGATGAATTTTATGGTATGCGAATTATGGCATAATTATATTTTAAAAAAGAGGACAGAGTGAGTGAGACACGGAGCTTAACTGGAAAGACATCAGCTCTTCACTCTGAGAAATTGAGGTGGGAATAAACTCACAGTGAATGGCTTTAATGGAAGCTAACACATATGCACTTGACTGAGCCACACATTTTCCCAATTGTGTCACATGTTTCCGCTTACTCTTCAAAACAACCCTGAGGTGGGTACCATTTTTATCCCTATTTTATAGGTGGGAGTCTGAAATACAGAATGGTGAAGACCTTTTTTTTTAAAATATTTATTTATTTACTTGAGACAGAGTTAGAGAGAGAGAGAGGAAGGGAAGGGGGGGAGAGAGAGAGAGAGAGAGAGAGAGAGAGAGAGAGAGAGAAATCTCCTATCCGTTGGTTCACTCCCCAAATGGCCGCAACAGCTGGAGCTGAGCTGATCCGAAGCCAGGAGCCAGGAACTTTCTCTGTGTCTCCCATGGTGCAGAGGCCCAAGCTCTTGGGCATCCTTCGCTGCTTTCCCAGGCAATCAGCAGGGAGCTGGATCAGAAGTGGAGCAGCCGGGACTGGAATCACTGCCCATATGGGATGCCAGCACCACAAGCAAATGGTTAACCTACTACTCTGCAGCACCAGCCCCAAGACCTTTTTTCTTTTTTTAAATAAGATTTATTTATTTATTTGAAAGGCAGAGTTAGAGAGAGGGAGAAGCAGAGAGAGAGGTCTTCCATCTACTGGTTCACTCCCAAATGGCCACAACAGCTGGAGCTGGGCTGATCCGAAGCCAGGAGCCAGGAGCTTCTTCTGGGTCTCCCACATGAGTGCAGGGGCCCAAGCACTTGGGCCATCTTCTACTGCTTTCCCAGGCCATAGCAGAGAGTTGGATTGGAAGTGGAGCAGCTGGGACTTGAACCAGCACCTTTCTTAAAGTCACATGGGTGGGACAAATGTCAGAGCTGGGATTTGAGCCCATAGCCTGGATCCAGGGTCTACCACTTATGTACAGTGCTGTAATACATCTCTTGGGTATCTGTGTCCTCAATAAGTAAGTATTACAGTAGTAAGGGTTCTTGGAAGCATAGTTGGGACTTAACAGAAAAGGCTAAAAAATTGACATGAAGAACATGGGAAGTCAACCACCGATTGTGTTTTAACTTGGTGTTGTTGGGAATAAGAGGCCTAGCAAAAGCAGTCTCTTCATTCCCACTAACACCCGCAGCCTTTACTGCATTCCTGCCCTTACTACTGCTTTATTCTTGCAGGTCTGTGGTGGGGGTTTTCTTATGTGGTCCTCAAGGTTTGGCAAAGAGCCTGCGCAAATGCTGTCAACGACACTCCAGTCTGGATCCTAGGAAGGTTCAATTCTACTTCAACAAAGAAAATTTCTGAATTGCAGTAATGAGGATGGCTATCTGCATTTCATCTCGTTTGTATCATCCACTACTCAGGTCAGGTTTGAGCAGCCATTTAAAAGCCATGACTGTAGCAAGAGCTTTGGCGGTTGACAGTTACACAATTTAATCCCAGGTGGCTCTGCTGACTTTAGCTGTTACTATCTCCTGGACTTTGGTTACCTTCCCGCCCTCTCACCCTCACAGAAGATTTCTAATTAGGGTGCCTTTTTAAATATAAATTTATTGAATAATGACAAAACATAATAATAAACATAAATAATAAACAATGAACATAAAATTACCAAGAACTCTATCCCCATATAACACCAACTACATACATTCTGTTACATTAAACATAATCTTATCCAGTGTGAACAGCAATTTATGCTTTAATTTTGCTTGTCAAAAAATGAAGGATTTTTTTCTTTGCTTAATGACTTGTTGCATTTTCTGGGCTCTCCATTTGGGAAAGAAAACCTTGAAAGTATGTGAATTGTAATTGAAATTGTATTATAATTTACAGTCAGTTATCCTGTCATCTTCTATTATTCTGTTGAAAATAATTGAAAAAACTTGAACTCCATCTTAGGATGACTTTTGTAGTCAACACAAAGGCTCCTTATCACTCTTTTTATTAAGGGGACTTATTAAAGTCTCGTTTAAAAACTAAGAAATAATTTACAATTTCAATAGCTTTTTTTTTGGTTCCTACCTACCTATTCACCAAGTAATCATTCACCAAGTAACATAAGCAAAAGGCCATTTCTTTGTCTTACCAGAATGCTTTTTATTTTTGTCATATATCCAACCTTAGCCTACAATTACATCTGCTCTAGGATGTTAGTAGTCACCATGAATCACTAGGAGAAAAGAAGCCCTAAGCCCCTCAAAAGAGGGAAAAAACTTCACATTTAGTTGTACCCAGAGTTCAAGTCATTATAGATTGATGAGAATGTTCCTACTGAATTAACATTATAGCACCAATTATCCTACCATTAAGTCACCAAGAATGAACAAATGGTTGTTTCTAATTATTCAGGAACCTCTGGTATGACATGAAGGATTAGTGAGATAGGTTTTTCAGTCACTAGTCTGAACACAATAAAGGTAGCTCATGGACCCATGGTACCTAACTGTGTTATTACACCAGTAAAAGACACTTACGGGTGCTTCTGTAGGGATAGATTGGGATACCACTGCTATTGCCAATTTGTTCACTTGGATTTCAGTTACCTAAATTAATTTTAATAAGACTTTGGGAAAACACACAATGTAACCTCAAAAACACGGTTCCTGTTAGACAACTGCTGACCAACTAATGTCATCTTCAAGACCCTTGATTTGGAATGCTAGTGTTCCCTGAAACTTAGGTGTTCCTGATGAGAAGGTTTTATTCTAGTCTCAAATCAACATATCAAGGTTCTGGTATTCATGGAAATGGACATAAAAGGTAATGAAAATAATAAACTCTGCAAAATTGTCATCCAAGCTTAATTGGAGATGAGCAGGATACCCAGAAAGCTCTTCAGCTGTTTTGAGCATATTTTCTTTGCTAGGTTAATATGAAACAGCTTATTCAGCACATTTCTGTTATAAATGATTATGTATCAAGAGTAGAAAATTCCTCCATTTCAACGTTTATCAAGTAGATGATCTTTGCATTCTTTTGCTTGCCATGTAAAGCAATATGCTATTACATTCTCTAAGCCTATGCCAGGTTTTCAATTGATCTGACCATAATCCCTAACCCAGGGGGTAGTATTCTGAGAATACAAATAGGATCAAAAATAGTTCCAGTAGAACTTTACTAATTATTAAGGCAACTTTTAACCTCTTGAGGTTGGCTTGATGGAGAGAAACTATGTTCCTCCTTAATGCCACTAGGAGAGAGAGAATACTAGGCAAGACGACCCCAGGTTAGAGCACTGATTACATTCAGAACTATCTGCAAGGTAGGAAGCAGGGACACACCTACCAGGCAACCTGAATGCTTGTCCTCTACATTTGGTCTGAAGTTTTAGGGCTTTCTATGTTTTAAGTTCCCAGAATAAATTTGGTTTATAATGTAGGGCTGCAGGTTAGTGATTTCCTGGAAGACAGGATGAAATGTATTTTGTTCACTCTATTTCTGCTGTTGTTATTTCATCTTGAACATGTGAAAAATCAGTGGGTTTTTAAAGCTGACTACAAGACTGAAGTTTTAGGACAAGAAAATGTCAACAGTGTCTTGTATTGTTGATATACTCAAACCAGTGCCAACACAATCTTTTGTCTTAACTCTGAACTATGAATGTTCAGATCTGCTATTGACAAAATGCATTTTGATATTTATATTTTTCTAAACTAAACACATTGCTGTGCTAGGCTCTTTGCTTTGTTGGCCTTTTGACCATTTTATAGCTCTAAGCATGTGCTGTTTTCTCCCAGAAGACTCAGAAGTCTGAGAAAGTTTTCAAAGGGCAAAGCCTTATTATTCTTGCTAGAAGCAAATTAAGCAAAAATTAAATTCCAGAAAACACTGCTTCTGAGAAATTCTCAAATATTATCAAGAAGAAAGAATGGTTAACCAAAAGAGCAAGCTACAATATAACATTAAAGCACAATGCTGTGGGAAGGGTAGAAAACACATCTAAGGTTTCACCCTTGGAGTTCAGCTTCTTAAAACCAAAAAGGTCATGTATATCAATTTGCAGTGTACTAAAATTGTGTTCAAAGTTTATTTCAAGTCACAGAAAATATACAAACTAAGACAACAAAATTAAACAGTTTTGTTTCAAGAGAAGGTGATGAGAGTCCTCCACCTGGCACCAACTGAGTCAGTCAGGGGTTAGGATGCTGAAGTCATCTTTTTGCAACATTAAGTTATGGAAATAATTTCCAGATCTGTTGCCAGGTAGCTTTGAAAACCTGTAAGAAAAATTTTGGAGAAAGCCATGAGAAGTGGAGATAAAGTTCTCTTCCCCATATATCAGGAAAAAAATTAAAGGCTAGGTGAGGGAGGATAAGGCATAAAATCAAACCACCAGAACAGCTTTCTAAGCTGTCTCCTGCCTCCCACATCCCCAGAGCCATCATTGCTTGCAGCAAGGTTTCTCAGTCTCAGCACTAGTGACATTTTGGACTGGAGCACTCTATAATTGGGAGGTTGGGGGCTATGCATTATTATAGGATGTTCAGCAACATCTCTGGTCTCTAATCCACTGAATACCACTCGTATACCATACTCCCTAAAGTCATGACAACCAAAAATGTTTCCAGACACTGCCAAATGTCCCTTTTGGAACTGATCTGACATTAATGGAATAGATGCCTGTCAGGGATGGCAGAGATGGATCACAATGAGGTAGGAAAAGGATGCAGAAAGAGCCAACACTTTTGGCTACAGTATGCACAAATACCAGCACAAACAGTAAAATCGTAAACACATAAAATTACAAAATTATAGTCACATACTCATGCATGCACACACAAGTTACTGTAGGTTTAAAAAATGGTGGAGACACCCCTTGGGATGCTCACTTCCTATATTGTGCCAGGGTTCAAGTCCCAGCTCTGCTTCCAATACCAGCTTCCTGCTAATGTGCACCCTGGGAGAATGCAATGATGACTCAAATGGTTGGGTCCCTGCCTCTGATGTGGGAGGCCCAGATTGAATTCTGGGTTCCTAGCTTTAGCCTATCCCAGCACTGGCTGTGGTGGGCATTTGGGGAGTGAACCAGCAGATGGAAGATCTCTGTATCTGTCTCTCTGCCTTTCAAATAAATAAGAACAACACATTTTTTAAATGTCAAAAACCAAAAAAGATCTGTAGTCCAATAGTGAAGTACCAATGTCAATTTCTTGGTTTTGTACCACATAGAGTAAAAAAGTACTGCACTACAGCTATCTGAGATGGTCTCACTGGGTAAGCTGAATGAAAGGTACTCAGGGCTATTTTTTTTTTTAAGATTTATGTATTTATTTGAGAGGTAAAGTTATGGACAGTGAGAGGGAGAAAGAGAGAAAAAAGCCTTCCATTCCACTGGTTCACTCCCCAAATGGCTGCAACAGCCAGAGCTGGGTCAAATCAGAAGCCAGGAGCCAGGAGCTTCTTCTGGGTCTCCCATGCGCGTGCAGGGGCCCAAGCACTTGAGCCACCTTCCACTGCTTTCCCAGGCCATAGCAGAGAGCTGGATTGGAGGAGGAGCAGCTGGGACATGAACTGGCGCCCATATGGGATGCCAGCGCTGCAAGCAGACACACAGCCTACAGCGCCACTGCACTGGCCCCGTCAGGGTTATTTTTCAACTTCCTGTGATCTCTGATTATTTCAAAATAAAAGGTTAAAAAAAAGCACAAACTTTGTCCTGTGGTTAATATGTACAGTTGTAAATTATATATAAGCAAAAATATATAGTGAAAGAACTTTCAGAAATGTTCCTTTTTTAAAAAGATTTATTTATTTATTTTGAAAGTCAGAGTTACACAGAGAGGAGAGGCAGAGAGAGAGAGAGAGAGGTGTTTCATCCGCTGGTTCACTCCCCAGTTGGCCACAATGGCTGGAGCTGGGCTGATCCGAAGCCAGGAGCCAGGAGCTTCTTCTGGGTCTCCCATGCGGGTGCAGGGGCCCAAGGACTTGGGCCATCTTCTACTGCTTTCCCAGGCCATAGCAGAGAGCTGGACTGGAAGTAGAGCAGCTGGTACTTGAACTGGCGCCCATATGGGATGCCAGCACTGTAGGTGGCAGCTTTACTCGCTATGCCACAGCGAAGGCCCCCAGAAGTATTTCTTCTGTTATCCAAAGAGTAACTTTCCCACATTGCAGGAAATATCTTCTCTAGCATAAATAAATTAGAAAAGGTTTCTGTGAATATAACAGGTAGTCTATGCTTTTATTAAAGAAAAAAATGTCGTGGGTATCTGGAGTAAATAGGTAAAGTACCAGTCATATCAAAAGTCTAGATGGTCATACATCTGTGATAGGTTCCCAGTACCGTTTAGTTACTTAAAGTCTAAATACAGATATGATGCATATTTGCAGTTTAGATGTTTTGAAGATGGTACAAATACAGATTAAAATACTATTATATTGGGATGGGCATTTGGCCTAGCTGTTAAGGTGCCCTACTAGAGCGCCTGGCTTTGACACCTGCCTCTGGCTCCTGACTCCAGCTTCCTGCTAATGCAGATTCTGGGAGGCAGTGATGATGATTCAAGTGGTGGGGTTCCTGTGGGAAACCTGGATTGAATTGCTAGCTCCTGGCTTTGGCCCCAGCCATTATAGGCTTTTGGGGGCGTGAACCAGCAGATGGGAGTATTCACTCTCTCTCTGCCTCTCAAATAAATAAATATAAATTACTTTAAAAATACCACTATATTTAGTAAGACTGCTAATTAGTATAAACAAGTTCATGATTAGATGATAACATATGGGGGAAATTATAATATGGATAGGGTAAAAAGTAGAATTTCAAAACATGGTATTTCAGGGGCAGCACTATGGAGTAATGGGCTAAGCCTCCACCTGTGGTGCCAGCATCCCATATGGGTACTGGTTCTAGTCCCTGCTGCTCCTCTTCCAATCCAGTTCTCTGCTATGGCCTGGGAAAACAGTACAAGATGGTCTAAGTGCTCGGGCCTCTGCACCTGCATAAGACCCAGAAGAAGCTCCTGGTTCTTGGCTTCAGATAGGTCCAGCTCCAGCTGTTGCGGTCATCTGGGGAGTGAACCAGTGGATGGAAGGCCTTTCTCTCTGTCTCTCCCTCTCTCTGTCTGTAACTCTACCTCTTGAATAAATAAACAAAATATTAAAAACCAAAAAACCCACAAAATATATTTCAGATGATATTGGGACAATGTGAATTTATAACTATTTTTTTGGGGGGCCAACATTGTGGTGCAATGAGTTAATAAGCCACTGCTAACTCCGGTATCCCCTACAGGTATCAGTTTGTGTCCTAGCTGCTCCACTTTTGATCCAGCTCACTTTTAACGCACCTGGGAAAGCAACGAAGACAGGTCAAGTTCTTGGGCCCCTATACCCATGTGAGAGACCTGGATAAAGCACCTGGCTTCTGGCCTTGGCCTGGCCCAGCCCTGGCCATTGCGGTCATTTGGGGAGTGAACCAGCAGATGAAAGCTCTCTCATTCGCACTCTCTCTCACTCTCTCCCCCCCACCTCTAATTCTGCCTTTCAAGTAAATAAATACATCCTTTTAAAAAAACTGTTTTTAGAAAACAGAATATTTATGAGATACAAAAATGATGGGGATTCTTTTTTTTTTTAAAAAAGAAACAACAATCTGTGGTCAGTGTGGCAGCTCAGTGGGCTACACTGCCACCTGTGATGTTAGCATCTCATATCAGAGCTTAGGTTCAAGTCCAAGCTCTATGCTTGATCAGGCTCGCTGCTAATATACCTGGGGAAAAAGCAGAAGATGACCCAAATACCCACGTGGGAGACCAGAATGGAGTTCTAGTCTCTTGGCTTCAACTTGGTCATTGTGGCCATTTGGGGAGTAAGCTACTAGATGGCAGATCCCTTTTGATTTCTGTCACTCTGCCTTTCAAATAAAATAAAATAAATCTTAAAAAAAAATACCAACGTGTGTAATCAAGTTATGTCACACAACTATTTATGAGGTAGGTCACCTGAGGATCCTTTTTATCTGATACACAAGAGAAATAGGGTACAAGATTCAGTAATCTCCAAATTGTATAAAAATTGATGATGGGGCTAGTGTTGTGGTGCAGCAAGTTAAGCTACAGCCTACAGTGCTAACATCCCTTAAGGGAGTGCCAGTTCAATTCCTAGATGCTCTGCTTCTGATCCAACTCCTTGCTAATGCACCTGGGAAGGCAGTGGAAAATTACCCAAGTGGTTGGGCTCCTGCCATTCATGTTGGAGACCTGGATGTAGTTCCTGGCTCCTGGCTTTGGCTTGGTCCAACTCCAGCCACTGTGGTCATTTGGGGAATGAACCAGCAGACTGAAGATCTCTTTCTCTGTCTCTTTCTCTCTCTCTGTCACTTCGCTTTTCAAATAAACTCCTAAAAAAAACCCTGAAAACTAAAATATTTATACATTTTATTGAAATTATGTGTTTTCTCCATTTTCATGGGACATTTGGAATCAAGTAACACATGTTATTCTGCAAGAACACATACCAAACTAGCTTTTGAGGTCTGTCTGGGGGGATGAGATTGTAGAAGCAGGGCTTTGTGCCTTTATCTTACTCATTTCTGTATCTGATTCATTTTGTTAAACTCATTATATATTATTTTGTCATAAGGAAAGGTTAAGAAAAACTATAAGCATTCAACAACTGAACAAATGTTCTATAGCCTTACTCTGTAGATGCTGACCTATACTCTGAAGGGAAAAAGAGAGTTTGCCTAAGAGAAGGGAGGGTCTCAAACAGAACAATCGTGTTGGTTAAGGTCAAATATATACCCAAAATACAGAGGAAGCTACTTCTACTCGGGTGGAATTTATTATGCTGACCTTTTAAGGCGCTCCAGTGGATTTCTGGATTTGTTCCTTTAAGATTAGGATACTCTGCCTTTGCTCCGGTGGCAGCATGGCAATCTGGTCTGCAGTCAGCTGAAGAACCTGCATAATCAAAGCAGCCTGTGCAAAGGAAAAGAAGGTAGTGAGTTTGAATGATGGAAGCTACAAACAACAACAACAACAACAAAAACCAACCACCACCAGGCTCTGTCCAAAAAGCTACTGTAGTGGAATATGAAGCCAAATGGAAAAAAGAAGGATATTTCCCACACAGAAAACAAACAACAGGCCAAAAAAAAAAATCTGGTGAGGAAAGGCATAATGGAGAGAACAAGCATAAATTAAAATACCTAAGATTAGACGACTCAAAATAGACACCTTCATGAACTCAAAGTTTCTGCAGCCTAAGATGGTACCTGCAGGCCCTGGGAATTCTTCAATTTTAGATCCTGTTTTGAAAGTCTCTCATTTTCACAAGTTTTAGCCTTTCTATCAAATATGAACTCCTCACCACGGTTAAATGTAAAAACAGAAATACACACTTGTGGGGAATCTGCTACTCTTTTCAGGGATAAGGTAGAAAGGGGAGAAAGAAAGGGGTTTGGAGTTTCAGGTCCATCTGAAAGAAAACCACTCTTGGCAATGACTCTGAAATGCAAGTTAAACTGCCATTTACATACACTTAATGATGGACCAGGCCCACAAATTTCCAGGTAACAATATTATACAAGAGTTCTAAGTCAGAGTAAACATCACCTCCAAAGGGACTTTGAAGACCCAGGGACACCACATGGTCACTGTGAAAAGAGGAGTCAAAAGACAAGATTTGTGCGTATGGCAGCAGTCAGACAGTGTTGCTCACCTTCTCATGATCCTGTGGAGTGACTTGGTTCTGCCCAGGACTAAAGGCACCAGGCTGGCTTCCACCCTGCAGGCTTGCTCCTTGCATGCCTGCTCCCTGCATGACTGGGACCTATGTGCATAAAGGGAAGAGATTTTTGAAACTTCTCACACATAGGGAACCTGAACCCAGGAACAGCAATGTGAAAAATTACGATAAACTCTAGACAGATATGAATTTTAAAAGCATATTAATGACTCGGAGTCTCATTTTCTAGTGTTAGCAATGGTAGAAGGCAGGCTTTAGCCAGAGATCAATGAGCAAGTCAGACACTCTTGTTTACACAGCTCCAGCATCACCAATAAATATCACACAGCACAATCGGATACTGTCAGATTAAAGAAAATTCAGCCAAATAAGCACAGAGAAAACAGAACACCCTGGAAAGGAGTACCAGTGGAAACACAAATGCAAGCCAACAGATTCTAGAGGTACTGTATGCTGATCCACTGGGGACACTATATTTAGAGAGCTACTGCCTACCTCTAATTAATCAGACCCGGTAGTTCTTCCCAGAGGATCTTATCCCACCAGTAAGGTAGACACAATCATAATGTTGCAGAGGCAGAAAGGAGATGCAAATGCCTCTGGGAAAAAGGTTGCTATTAATTCCACAGTTGCTTTGCATAGCTTTCCATGGACAATGAGCAGCAAACGCTTGCTGCTCAATACATACCAAATACACTAGGCTACTCCAAAAACGTTCATGGAAAAGTGAAATTAAAAGGTAACGTGTGTGGAGGGGGTGGTGCTGTGGCATAGTAGGTTAAGCCACTGCCTGTGGCAATGGCATCCCATATGGGCGCAGGTTCAAGTCCTGGCTGCTCCACTTCCAATCCAGCTCTCTGCTAATGGCCTGGGAAAGGAGTGGAAGATGGCCCAAGTGCTTGGGTCCCTCCACCCACGTGGGAGACCCAGAAGAAGCTTCTGGTTCCTGGCTTTGGATCAGCTAAGCTCCGGCTATTGTGGTCATTAGGGGAGTGAATCAGTGGATGGAAGACCTCTCTGTCTGTAACCCTGCTTCTTAAATAAACAAATCTTAAAAAAAAAAAAAAGGTAATGTGGGGGCCCATGTTGTAGTGCAGCACGTTAAGCTGCTGCCTGTAATGCCCACATCCCATATGGGCCCCTGTTCGAGTCCTGGCTGTATACTTTGAACCAGTTCCCTGCTAATGTGCCTGGGAAAGCAGCAGAAGATAGCCCAAATCACCCATGTGAGAGACCCAGATGAAGTTCCTGGCTCTGTCTTGACTCAGCTTAGGCCGCTGTAGTCATTTGGGGAGTGAACCTGCAGATGGAAGAACTCTTTTTTTTTTAAGATTTATTTTATTTATTTGAAAGACAGAGTTACAGAGAGAGAGAGGTAGAGACAAAGATAGAGGTCTTCCCATCCGCTGGTTCACTCCCCGGATGGCCGCAAAGGCCAGAGCTGTGCCGATCCGAAGCCAGGAGCCAGGAGCTTCTTCTGGGTCTCCCACGAGGGTGCAGGGGTTCAAGGACTTGGGCCGTCTTCTACTGCTATCCCAGGCCACAGCAGAGAGCTGGATTGGAAGAGGAACAGCCGGGACTAGAACCGGTGTCCATATGAGATGCCTGCATTTAAGGCCAGGGCTTTAACCTGCTGTGCCACAGCGCCAGCTCCTGGAAGAACTCTTTATCTCCCTTTCTCTCTCTGTTAACTTTGCCTTTCAAATAGATGCATCTTTAAAAAACAAAAGGTAACGTGCATTTTACATGAACTTTCTGACATACCTGTGTATGACTAACCCACGTAAAAGAAGAAAGTGTAGTTAAATCATACTTGTTGGTATTGGTATCTAAGCTCTTCAGTGAGTTCAACCCTTTGGAAAACTGCCAGAACCGAAGGAAAAGGCTTGTGAGTACCTAGTGGAACTGTGAGAAGGTCCTTCCATGAGAGTTATGTTCACACCCAGGCATTCACCCAGAGCTTAGGTACTCTGACTGAACACAAATTGTCAATAAACTTTTTACCTGCTTCCCCAGCAGATCAAAAGCAGCAAAGCATAAAAGAAATGCTGATAAACTTCTGTTAAGATCAGATAACACGACAGCAATGTGAAGAGCCAGGCAACAGCCTTACAGTGAAGGAGACCAGAAACAAAACAGAAAATAGACTATGTTTTGTATTATAGCATATACGGGTATGGAGCTATTTAACGATGACCTTGACTAATCAAAAACAAAATCATTTTTTGTATTTTGATTAAGAGGAAAGGAAGCATAAAATATACTTCATGAGTAATTTTTCATTAAAATAGTTTAAAAACTTGGTAGAATAGGTCTATCATCTGGAATATTCACTTATATGCATTCAACTCATTTTGCAAAGACACTGGATACATGAGGTATTAATATAGCTTTGTACAGAATGATAGAATATTATCACTCTTCTTATTTTTTTTTTTTTGACAGGCAGGGTGGACAGTGAGAGAGAGAGACAGAGAGAAAGGTCTTCCTTTGCCGTTGGTTCACCCTCCAATGGCCGCCGTGGCCGGCGCACCGTGCTGATCCGATGGCAGGAGCCAGGTGCTTCTCCTGGTCTCCCATGGGGTGCAGGGCCCAAGCACTTGGGACATCCTCCACTGCACTCCCTGGCCACAGCAGAGAGCTGGCCTGGAAGAGGGGCAACCGGGACAGAATCCGGCGCCCCGACCGGGACTAGAACCTGGTGTGCCGGCGCCGCAAAGCGGAGGATTAGCCTAGTGAGCCGCGGTGCCGGCCACTCTTCTTATTTTTTAAATCAATATTGAATCCAGAAGCTGCACTGAATTCTTGTACTGTTAAGGATCTGAAATACCTATAATATTTTTGAAGCTTACTAATGCTTACTAATAATCATTTGAAATATTACAATGTGATCTAGCCACTCAAAAAAAGGCCATTTTCCCTTTTGGCTCTCTGAGCCCCACCATGGCGGTCGGCAAGAACAAGCGCCTTACGAAAGGCGGCAAAAAGGGAGCCAAGAAGAAAGTGGTGGACCCATTTTCTAAGAAAGACTGGTATGATGTGAAGGCACCTGCTATGTTCAACATACGAAATATTGGGAAAACACTGGTCACAAGGACCCAAGGAACCAAAATTGCGTCTGATGGACTCAAGGGGCGTGTTTTTGAAGTGAGTCTTGCTGACCTGCAGAACGATGAAGTTGCATTTAGAAAATTCAAACTGATTACGGAGGATGTTCAGGGCAAAAACTGCCTGACTAACTTCCACGGCATGGATCTTACCCGGGACAAAATGTGCTCCATGGTCAAAAAATGGCAGACCATGATTGAAGCTCATGTTGATGTCAAGACTACCGACGGCTATTTGCTTCGTCTGTTCTGTGTTGGTTTTACCAAAAAACGCAACAATCAGATACGGAAGACTTCCTATGCTCAGCACCAGCAGGTCCGCCAGATCCGGAAGAAGATGATGGAAATCATGACACGGGAGGTGCAAACAAATGACTTGAAAGAAGTAGTCAATAAATTGATCCCAGACAGCATTGGGAAAGACATAGAGAAGGCTTGCCAATCTATTTATCCTCTCCATGATGTCTTCGTTAGAAAAGTGAAGATGCTGAAGAAGCCCAAGTTTGAATTGGGAAAACTCATGGAGCTTCACGGAGAAGGTAGCAGTTCTGGAAAAGCCACTGGGGATGAGACGGGTGCAAAAGTCGAACGAGCTGATGGCTACGAACCACCCGTCCAAGAATCTGTTTAAAAATTAGACTTTAATAGTGACAAATAAAATGTCCTTTTTGTGGAAAAAAAAAAAAAAAAAAAAAGGCCATTTTGTTTCTAGAAGTACCTGTTCTATACTTGTAAGTACAAGCAAGAGTGATCATACATTTTGGTTCACCTGAGGCAGTCCCAGTTTCTGCTTTTGCCCAGAGTAAATTATTAACAGTACTCTCCAACATGTCTGTCTTTGGCTGACAAATTACAGAATCACCCTAGTAACAATAAGCCTTTTACCTACATGTTTACAACTGGCAGGACTGGAGTCAATTTTAAAACCTGATTAAAAATTAGTAAATAAGAAATGGTAAGGAGAAGACAGAGGTTTATTCTGATTTGAGCATTATACATGTATGATGTACCAAACATCACATGGTACTCTACAAATATGTACAATTTTTGTGTGTCAATTAAAAAGATAAATAAAATTATGAAGGACACATTATTAAGTAAAAAAATAAGGTATAGGACACTGAAAGGGGAAAATACACTCATATTTGTTAGAAAGACACACAAAAATTCTAATAAAGGCAATTATCTACAGGAGCTGGGGGGGTCACAGTGTAGAAAGGTACAAGATAGTAAGGTTCTTAATATGTATGTCTTCTAGATGAAGGTATACTCACTTATTTATAAATTAATTAAGAAATTTAAAAAAAATTTTAAGATAAAAATTTTTGTTTTCTCCACCTCAGATCTAATTGGCTTTATAGATTCTGCTAATGAAAACTACATAAATCTAATGGTAATGAGTAATGAATTCAAGGACTAGCAGAGAAAATGAAGCAAGATATTATCCAGAAATGGTCTTCCAATCATTATTTTCAGTGTCTTTCTTCACAGAATTGTCAGCAGAATTCCACTAGAATGCAATCCCCATTGGAACAGAGACTGTACTGTTCACACTGCTGTACCTCCAGTATCTAGATCTGTGTTTGGTATATAGTATATGCTAAATAAGTATTTGCTGAATACAAAAAATTCTATTATGAAGTTACTGACCACAGAGGAACAATAAAAATCAAGGCCCATGAACACATTTTTGAAATAATAATACTTAAAAAGTAAAGAATAATTTTATTCTATATATACCAGAAAAAAAGTATTTTTATTTCAAGAAGTAGGTGGACACATACTGACCCCCCCCTCCCCCACAAATGTGCAAGTAACAGGACAGAGTAGCAGTGAAAAAATAGTGGGTTCTATTTCTTGCCCTGTACTTTTTAGGTATGTGAATTTGACCAAGTCACCTGATTCTTGGGTCTAAGTTTCCAAGCCTAAAAAATGAGGGGACTGGATGACTGACATGTTCCATTCCTGCTTTGACATTCTCTCCTCTTGCTCACACACACACAGGAAGGAAGACATAAAAAAGATATGAGGGGCCAGGTAAAGCTGCTGCCTGTGGTGCCGGCATCCCATATGGGAGCCGGTTCAAGTCCCGGCTGCTCCACTTCCAATCCAGCTCTCTGTTGTAGCCTGGGAAAGCAGTAGAAGATGGCCCAAGTGCTTGGGCCCCTGCACCTGCCTGGGAGACCTGGAGGAAACTCCTGGCTCTTGGCTTCAGATCAGCCCTTCTCCGGCTGTTGCAGCCAATTGGGGAGTGAACCAGTGGATGGAAGACCTCTCTCTCCTCTCTCTGTATAACTCTGACTTTCAAATAAATAAATCTTTTAAAAAACCACATGAAAGAAGAGACAATTACACAGAGGAAGGAGAAAAAGGAAACAGAAGAGGCTGAAGGGAAAAGAATGTGCCAGCACATAAAAACTCAGGGAAGATACACACATACTACCTTCCCACAGCCAACAGGGGATAAAGATAGGAAAGATGGCAACCAGAGACTACCATAGACACATAGCTTGGGAGAGCCAAAAAGAGAGAGAAGAGGTAAGACTTCACTTCCGCAGCTTTTTGGGTAATCATTAGGAAACTGTCTTTCGCACTCTACTGTTCACTAAGGCTATGTAAGACAATAAATTAATAACACATTTCTGTAATCCTACAATTATCTAAATGACCACAAACAGCTCTTTAGACACTCTAACCTAGGGGTTCTTAGGGCTGCACATTAGAATCATTTGGGGGGCCGGCGCCGCAGCTCAATAGGCTAATCCTCCGCCTGTGGTGCCAGCACACCAGGTTCTAGTCCCAGTCGGGGCGCCGGATTCTGTCCTGGTTGCCCCTCTTCCAGGCCAGCTCTCTGCTGTGGTCTGGGAGTGCAGTGGAGGATGGCCCAAGTGCTTGGGCCCTGCACCCCATGGGAGACCAGGAGAAGCACCTGGCTCCTGCCTTTGGATCAGCGCGGTGTGCCAGCTGCAGCGCGCCGGCCGCGGCGGCCACTGGAGGGTGAACCAACGGCAAAGGAAGACCTTTCTCTCTGTCTCTCTCTCTCACTGTCCACTCTGCCTGTCAATAAATAAATAAATAAATAAAAGAATCATTTGGGGGAGGTTTCTGAAACCATCCACGCACCAGATCCTACTGATAGATTCTGATGGGCCTGCAGTGAGATTCAGGCAAGTCTATTTTGAAGAAGCCTTGTATACGACATTGGTTTGCACCCCAGTGAAGAATATCCCATAACCACTAAATTTCCAAGGGCTCTGCTCTGAATGCAAATAGCTACTGATATTGTAAGACAAAGTTGTTCTTTGGGTTTTCAATCCTAGTGGCCAGAAAAATTACTATCGTAAGGGACACAGAAAATAAAGGGAGATTCCACCATTCTCTTTTTCTTTCTTTTTTTTTGACAGGAAGAGTGGACAGTGAGAGAGAGAGACAAAGAGAAAGGTCTTCCTTTACCGTTGGTTCACCCTCCAATGGCTGCTGTGGCCGGCGCGCTGTGGCTGGCACACCACGCTGATCCGAAGGCAGGAGCCAGGTGCTTCTCCTGGTCTCCCATGTGGGTGCAGGGCCCAAGCACTTGGGTTATCCTCCACTGCACTCCCAGGCCACAGCAAAGAGCTGGCCTGGAAGAGGGGCAACCGGGACAGAATCTGGCGCCCCGACCGGGACTAGAATCCGGTGTGCCGGTGCCGCAGGCAGAGGATTAGCCTATTGAGCCGCGGCGCCGGCCCACCATTCCCTTTCTAGCAAGCTTAGAAACAGTTCAAGTCACAAGGCAGTAATAATCAGGCTCAATAACCAATTGTGGTATAGATCAAGATTTCACATAGCTGTTAGAAGTGAGCATTACACATACCTGTCTGGCTCCCTGGGGACCAACCGCCATATTCATTGGAGCGGGACCTGGCATTCCACTAGGCAGAGGTCCTCTAGGTCCGGGCACTGGGCCCCTGGTGTCCATGCCTCTAGCCTCCATTCCTCGGACTTCCATAGCACGGACCTCCATGGCACGGGCCTCCATGGCACGGGCCTCCATGGCACGGGCTTCCATTGCTCTGGCCTCCATACTTCGTGCATCTAATCCTCTTGCCTCCATGGCTCGGGCCTCCATACTTCGTGCATCTATGCCTCGTGGATCTCGTCCACCTGTAAAGAAATTTGTCAGTAACAGAACTCTATTCCTCTAGTAAAATTCCCCCAACTATGATATTGTTGTCTTTTCCCCAGTTTCTCAGATTTGCAGATAAACCTTAAAGATGCTTGATGACCCCAGTGCTCCCTCTGCCAGCATTCTTTATCCCAGGTTAGAGTCAAAGACAGCTGGGTTCATTATCAACCCAAGAGTACCAGTTAGCTTCGTGATGTGGTCTCTCCTTACCTCTGCCATCCAAAGGTGGACCCCTCTGATCTAGCATGGGTCCTCTTGGCTCTGCCATTAGAGGTCTAGGTTCAGCTAGTGGCCCTCCTCTCATCTCATGTGGGGGTGGGCCACGGCTTTCATGACCAGGGACGTGGTGCATGGGTGGACCCTGATGAGGTGGTCCCAGGTAACCTCTAGAGATTGAAAGAAATATTACATAAAAGCTGTAGAGACATAAATCCACTTATTCCAGAATTTGATAATTAGTGGTACTCATAACTAGAGAAGAATTAATGGACAGTCATTACATGAAGAAGAACATGGGTTTTGAATTCAGACTATATGGGTTCAAATCTAGGTTCCATCACTTGTTAGCTGTGTGATCTTGGGCACATTTGCTTAACTTCTCTATGCCACCCTCAGCTTATCTGTAAAACAGAACTAATACTATCCATCTTATAGGGTCATTCTGTGGATTTAATGAGATGATCTAATAAAACTTCTCAGAGCAGAGTCAGAAATATGATCCCTATTAATGTCAGTTAGTACTATTATTGATACTATTATTACCACAAGTTTTCCCTGTTTAGGTATGTATACTAGAATTGCCAACTTCTGAAAATATATTTAATAGGCATGATTAGCTTGAGAGGACACACAACTACATGTTCTGCCTTAAGAGAAATGCTTGGACAGGGACCATGGACTTTTCCTTTATCTTTTGAAGTAGGCAAATAGGTACAACTTGTACAGAAAGACTTTGTTCTCAAGACAAAGGAAAATCCTGAATTCTCCAACCGTTTCCTTCTATGTTAGTACTTACCTAGGCTCTACGTCTCCAGTTACAGAAAGTAAAGTGCCTCCCCGTGGGTCATTTGGAGCATCTCCTAAGAGACCTCGAGGAGTTGGGACGTTGGCAGGCAAAGAGCCCCGCTGTAGAGCTGCTCTGGGGTCTTGCATCGGCACTGACAGGGAAACAAATGGGGAGTTACTGCTGTGAAGGACACATAAGGAAACAAGAAACGACTCTGATACCACTGACAATGTAATTCAGACACCTTAGAGTGGGTGACACCTCACCACAGCAGAATCCTCTTGCAGCTCAAGAACAGAAGCAGGGTGTAGGCAGAATCTGTGCCACGTCAGAGGTATGGATGGAATTGTATACACAGCAAACTGGGGAGCAACCTGCCAAGGACTAGCACTGTGACCTGAAGAACCTTATGCTCCTTGGTTTCCTTCTAATCAATCTTAAGTTCAAGGACCAGAGTCACAAAAGAGAGGTAGGGTCTTGGCCTATGTTAATACTGCCATGGCTCTGCAAGAACCTGCTGTCTCCTTACAGACTGCTATTCCATCCAAGCCTCCTGACACCAGTAGGGAGGGAGTACAGCCTCGGACAGATGCCCATATCATCCATGTTCTCTGCCCTGTGTGAAGAGGTCAATCTTAGGCTTGTGGCCTCAACAGGAAAAAAAAATTAAGAAAAAAAAAAACACCAAAAACCCAAAAATACTACCCTTTTGGGTTCTGAACATGAGGATGACTGCCAAGCAGCTCTTTTCCTCTCATCACCCCACCCTGAACACCACAAGCAAAAGGAAACCCACAGATACAATGGGTACCTTGAACTCGTTCAATTGAGGCAGGCCCGGCGGGTCCCACAGGCGAGTGCTGTAGGGTTCCTAGGTGAGCAGTAAGTTTAAAAGGAGAAAGAGTAGACACTTAAAATAGCTTGCACACAGACACACAGACACACACACACACACACGGAAACTGCAGATTTACACAGGTATGTTAACAAGCCAAGGGGTGATTAGCTTGCCCACACAGCTATAAAATCTTCCCAAACTACACTAGCTTCTTTGGGTATCTGAAAGAGTTTCGCGTTCACCAGACAGCTTCTAAAGGGAAACCTGCGGGACACTGGGGTTATCTGGCAGGAATAACCAGCCAATCTCCATTTTCACCCCTATTTGTATGTCTTCCCTTAAATGTTCTGGTGATACTACTAAAACATACACATACACACAAATACAGAAAAAATGTAAGGAGGATGATTTTGAATCTCTAGTTAAGGAAAGAACATATTTTCAGAAGTAAAGCATGAAAGAAATTACACTGAATCTGGAAGGTGAGATTTATTCTGGAGAGGCCATAACAGAAGTAGGATAAGGCTATTTTGTTACACTTTAAAACATAAAAATTTGTTATCAAAAAGTATCGAAAGGGGAAATGCAGTAATGACCTTCAGATATCAACAATCCACAAGAAATACTCTGCCACAGCCAATCTTTGATAATACACATCGCGACCACAGCAAACAAAGGCTAACGCAGTAAGGGCACCCCCAATATACAAAGGTGGTAAGAAAGCAAGAAGTATCTTCTCCAGCACCTCATTGTCTCTTTACACTATTACAAAAGTGCAAAAGAAACATAGATTCCAGAAAAAGGAAGTGAAAAGATGTGTTACTCTTCTGCTGGGTACTGAAGAAAATTATAAAAGAAAGTTCATCACACTTTGTCTCTTCATGAAGGCATCTTTCAAATACCTTCACAACAGGAGTCATTTCCTTTTGCTAATTTTTGACCAGAAAGGTGAACTAACTACAGCAAGAAGGAATATGTTTTGTAGAAGTATGTGCTAAACATCTAAAGCTTCATTGATTAACTGCTAGCCTAGGGAAACATGGAAGTATGCCTGGAGTCCCAATTTCTTCTTACTACAACAAAAACACTTTGGAATACATACACAGTTGATTGCCAGCGGGGATGGCCAACAACAACAAAAAAGCATAGGATGCTTAGAGAAAAGATAAAGTATTTGGGCCAGGAGTATATCCTGCTGTCAGACATCTAACAACAAATTACAGGCCTACATCTTAATATTTTGCTTTTTAAATGAGTTTCACTCATAGGACATAGGTTAAGATGAAACAACTTAAGCTTCTTTAAGCTTGTCCAAAGCAATCTTTTCTCAACACAGAGACCCAATGCATAGGAGAAAAAGACACTGAAGAATATTTTTAGAAGTTAGTAAGATGGGCCCGGTGCTGTGGCACAGCAGTTAAAGCCGCCGTTTGCAGAACCAGCATCTTACATGGGCGCCGGTTCAAGTCCTGGCTGTTCCACTTTTGATCCAGTTCCCTGCTAATGTGCCTGGGAGAGCAGCAGAAGATGGCCCATGTGCTTGGGCCCCTACACCCACGTGGGAGATCCAGATGAAACTCCTGGCTCCTGGCTTTGGCCTGTCCCAGCCCCAGCCATTGTGGCCATTTGGGAAGTGAACCAGCATATGGAAGATCTCTCTCTGTAACTCTGATTTTCAAATAAAATAAATAAATAAATCCTTTTTAAAAAATAAGAGCCAATGTGAAGTGACCAAAAAAGTATTAATTTTGAAACCAGAGACTTCTGAATCTTAGCTCTGCCACTTAGTAGGTGGAAAAGAGGATGAGATGGGGCCAGTGCTGTGGTATAGCTGCTGCCTGCAGTGCCGAAATCCAGTACGGGTATTGGTTCAAGTCCTGGCTGCTCCACTTCCGACCCAGCTCTTTGCTGTGGCCTGGGAAAGCAATAGAAGAGATGGCCCAGGTTCTTGGGCCTGGGACAGCATGGGAAGACCCAGAGGAGGCTCCTGGCTTTGGATCGGAGAAACTCCAGCCACTGTGGCCAACTGAGGAGTAAACCAGCAGATGGAGGACCTCTCTCTCTGCCTCTCCTTCTCTCTCTGTGTAACTCCTGACTTTCAAATAAATAAATAAATAAATCTTTAAAAAAATGAAAAGAGGATGAGAGCACCAAAATCAGTCCACATTCCTCAGACATTAGGACTTACTTACCTTGTCCCCTTGAGTAAGTAATTTAAAACTCTGAGCTTCTATCTCTTTGCTCCAAAACTGAGGTGCTGCCACCTAACTTTCAAGGTTGTTTATGAAAATTAAAGTGCTACACAGTATGCAGTCAGTCCTTCCTCTTTTCTCATTCTGTTTCCTTCTGACTTTGCTTTCAATTGAATCTCTGCATTTTGTTTTCTTTCACCCAGCAGAAGTAATGTGGAGATTCGGGATGGCTGCTGCCACTGTGGTCTACAGCATTACTGCAAGTTTCCACAGGGTTTAAATCTAGTGTTCAGCATACCCAAGCCATAATAAATGCTTATTACTACAATTCCTTACTCAGTCAACATAGTCATGGATAGAGAGAGAGAGAACATCTAAGTGGAATCATTAGGCTATCATGAAATAAAAGATCCATTTGCTTCAATATGCATTTGCTTCATCATCAATTTTTGTAGAGCGGTCTGAATCACTAGTTGGAAAGTCTAGCCTAGCACTGTCCAAGAGAATGTTCTGTGATGATAGATATATTCTATAACTCCAGTGTCCAGTAGCGTATCTGTATTGAGCAACTGCGATGTGACTAGTGTGACTGAGGAACTGAGTTTTAAAGTTTACTGAATTTCATATTTATTTAAATAGTCACTGGTGGCTAATGGCCACTGTATTAGGTAGTACAGATATGGAAACTTTCCAAGTCCAGTCCATATTAATCAGACACTAATATTTATTTACCTTGTCCTCGTTCCATGGGCACTGGTCCACCTCCTGGCATTCCAACCTGAGTCTGCATTCCTCCTAGGAAGATAAAAGGCAGGAAAGAAAAACACAAATTAGGACAGTGGGAACAGTGGCTGAGCTTACAAATTTCTTCATTTCTGTCCTACAAGCAGAAACCTGCAAGGGGAGATGATAGATACCACTCAACAATGCAATTAGACACAAGACGGGGTTTGTTAGTGCTTTGTGCTTCAGCAACAGAAAAGTGGGTTCAATAAGAACACTTCACCTCATTCGATATCAAGACCTTGGAATGAAGCTCCTGTGTAATACAGGTAAACAATGCCATTTACCCAGAGACCTCTCATGGTAGGCAGTACTACTCACAGAGTATCTTGAAAACGTGTGGGTATATCGGTCGGTTATAACAGAGATTTGTAGGGCACAGCTGGCACTGAGAAGATACCAAGCATACTAGATGTCCTGCGATGTATGAGACAGTTCCACAAAGTCAAGAATTACCTTGTGTCTTGCAATGCTTTGAAATGTCTCACTGTATACTCACAGAAATAAAAACGTGTTTATAGTCCTGTGAACTTAGAACCTGTCTATTTTGTAAATATAAAGCTTCTCTGTACTATCATTATACAACTGATTTTTTCAGAAATGCAATTACTGAGTAAATTATGGGAAGTGCAATTTAAGAACTTTATCCCAAGTTTCCACTATTTCAGAAAATTCCATCACCAATGGCAATAGTCCTTGTGGTATCTGAGTTGCCAAATCAATGTGCCTTTATCTGACGATATTTTTAGTTTATTTATTTATTTATTTTTTGACAGGCAGAGTGGACAGTGAGCGAGAGAGACAGAGAGGAAGGTCCTCCTTTACCGTTGGTTCACCCTCCAATGGCTGCTGCGGCTGGCACACCAACTGATCCAAAGCCAGGAGCCAGGTGCTTCCTCCTGGTCTCCCATGCGGGTGCAGGGCCCAACCACTTGGGCCATCCTCCACTGCCCTCCCGGGCCACAGTAGAGAGCTGGCCTGGAAGAGGGGCAACTGGGACAGAATCCGGCGCCCTGACCGGGACTAGAACCCGGTGTGCTGGCGCCACAGGCGGAGGATTAGCCTATTGAGCCATGGTGCCGGCCTGATATTTTTAGTTTTTATGTTCATGGTATAGGCTGCACATATCTGACTGCTATGTTCTGTTTTCCAGTGTAGTTGTGCCTGGACAATCGTCTATTACAAAATTTTTTAAATGATAAATTAATGCCCTCCTACTTTGCCTTTATAAGAACTGGATGCTGGCCCTGCCCTTGCTACTTAATATTGTGATTTTTGACAAAGTGACTTGAAAATTTTAATACATTCACAGCTTTCCTCATGTGTAAAAGAAAATGAACTGGTCTGAACAGTGGTTCTCAGAATGTGCTCGCAGAGTAGCAGCATCAGCATTAGCATCACCAGGGAATTTGTTAGAGCTGCAAATTCTCAGGGTTCCCTCTCACACCTACTGAATTACAGAGTCTAGGGATGGGGATGAGCAAACTGTTTTGAAAAGTCCTGCAGGGTGGCCGGCGCCACGGCTCACTAGGCTAATCCTCCGCCTAGCGGCGCTGGCACGCCGGGTTCTAGTCCCGGTCGGGGCGCCGGATTCTGTCCCAGTTGCCCCTCTTCCAGGCCATCTCTCTGCTGTGGCCAGGGAGTGCAGTGGAGGATGGCCCAGGTGCTTGGGCCCTGCACCCCATGGGAGACCAGGAAAAGCACCTGGCTCCTGGCTCCTGCCATCGGATCAGCGCGCCAGCTGCGGCGGCCATTGGAGGATGAACCAACGGCAAAAGGAAGACCTTTCTCTCTGTCTCTCTCTCTCTCACTGTCCACTCTGCCTGTCAAAAAAAAAAAAAAAAAAAAAAAAAAAAAAGGTCCTGCAGGGCTGGCACCGTGGCTCAATAGGCTAATCCTCCTCCATCCTCCTCCCTGCGGCGCCGGCACACGGGGTTCTAGTCCCGGTCAGGGTTCTAGTCCCGGTCGGGGCACCGGATTCTGTCCCGGTTGCTCCTCTTCCAGTCCAGCTCTCTGCTGTGGCCCGGAAGTGCAGTGGAGGATGGCCCAAGTGCTTGGGGCCTGCACCCACAAGGGAGACCAGGAGAAGCACCTGGCTCCTGGCTTTGGATCAGGTGGTGTGCCAGCCGCAGCGGGCATTGGGGAGTGAACCAATGGCAAAGCAAGACCTTGCTCTCTGTCTCTCTCTCTCACTGTCCACTCTGCCTGTCAAAAAATAACAAAGTCCTGCAGGTAATTCTAACCCATTAAAGTTTGAGAACCACTGGGCTAAATGATTTCAAAGTTCTCACCTAGCCACAACATTCTGTTCTGTCCTATTCATTTGATTCAAATCAATCAGCAAAACAATGCAAAGATAGGAT